GAGTGCTTTGGGAAGATTTATGTGAAAGAGAGGCACAAGGACTAAAAGCAGAGACTTCGAAAAATAAAGAGCCCGCAAGTGCATCCATGCTGACAGCTGAATAGGAGAGAGACTTGGAACTGTGAGCAAGGACACTCTGTTCAGGGGACAGCAACTTTGTAAATTAAGATAACTACATCAAAATGACACTTGGTTCCAAGCCCCATTTTTCATCTCAATGGGAACAATCCATAAAGCCCCACTTATGGCTGATGCAGGGGACACAGAGCAGAGTAATATTATCCATGTGAAGAAAAAATGAGCAAATACGGAACAATAGCAATTAAGTCAGAAGGAGCAGAGCCATAGATAGAGATCACGATTTAAGCGATGGTATTGCTAAGATTGGTTTAGGGTCACATGTGCTGCTTTTTTTGGTCTGTTTAGACAATAGGCTGTTTGGGTTGGGAACTCTGGGAGTCCAGGTCAGTATGGTGACTGGGACAGTTGGACCCTGTAGACTCCTGGTTGAAAGATTATAAAAATAGCAAATGAAAATAATACAAGCAGCAGGCGTAGAGAAGTGACATTACATATTTAAGTATAAACAATATCTATAAGGAAGTGAGGTTGAAGAAGCTCCAACTCTGGCTTTGCAGCCCATTCCACAAAGACAGCCCTAAACCCAACCTGATGATCAAGCAGTAATCTACTAAATGCAGACACCTTCCAAAGTGGAACATTATACTAACTCATCTACACACAAAAATATTTTATGTTAAATTACTTTGGACGCAGAAATGCAGATAATACCTACCTAATTAGAAAAAAAGCTTTTTCCTAAACAAATTACAAGTGACCACACGTGCAGAGAAATTAAAGGCTGGGTATAAGTGTAATAATGGGTATCTCTTCTTGAAGCCAACGGGACCTAAGCAGAACCCCCAATTACGTTATGGATCTAGCCCTAAATCCCTGCTCCATAAATGCTTCTAGATGCAAGTAAATCTGGGCAAGTGGATAGTCTTACTCACATTTGTAGGTGTTTGCAAGACAGGGACTAATTCTGCCTGGTTTTTAAGACCACAATCCCTTACCTAAGGTCAGTGGAGATTTAGATGTCGCCTACCAGCTCTGTAGTTAATATTTTACTACTGAATTCTATGAGAACTAGAACTCATAATCTTTCTTTTCTTTGAACCCAACAGTTAAATACGTAGTGCCGAATTCACTCCCCTAGCTCTAGGTATCTTAAAAATTTGGGATCAGTGCTACGTTGGTTTCCTAAACTCCCTCTACTGTCAGCAGAGAAGAGGAGCACTTTTTGAGGGTTATTCAGCTCATTCTGAAAGAGGTGGCTGACCTTGTGCTGAGGCGGAGCAGAGGCCATCCCAGTCCCTCTGTCAATGCTGCACTGCAGTCAACAACCTCTGGCAATGAGGCAGGAACACAGCAGTGCTGTCATACACCTCTGACCAGGTTTTTGGCAAAACATCATCCAAGGTTTGTGTAGCACTTCTAACTCTGGCTAAATGTTTGGGATATTTAGTGTATTACTGAAGTTTACGCTGCCAGTTACCCATTGCTCTTTCTCAGTTACTTCAATAATCCATCATGTGCACAAAAAGAATTCTGAATGGTATGAAAGTTATTTAGCTCCAGCAACCTTTGGAGGGGGAAAATTATTAATAAAAAATAAATTCTAGCTATGCTATCTGGTTATTCATGACTCCCAAGATTTTAAAAAAGTATTTTAGTAGTTTATATTTTTCAGCGGAGTGAATGGACACTGTGATATTTCTAAAAGAAACTAAATGCTGAAATAAACTGGTTTGTGTGCATGGGTTTATTACTTATTACACTTACTAAAGACAACAGTTTAAAAATGAAACTTCTTTCAAGAGAATGAATGCAGCTAATATGGTCTTCTAAAATATTTTTATTCAAATTATAGAAGAAGAGACCTTTATCAGTATTAATCTTCTATTTGAGCTTAATGAAAGGAAAATTCATTCTGTTAAGGTTTTATTCTTGGAACTACTTTTTGTTCTATTTTTAAAACACCACTCCTTATAGATCATTATCTCAAAATTATCTTTCTGAAAGACCTGTTCTCAGCATGACACTATGATGTAAGAGGACTTGCTTAGGAAGAACAGTTCTAACTCACAAATTATTAATGGCAATGCAAAATGTATGCACAGTATTAAAAGTTACATACCCCTCTTCTCTGGGAATTTCATCCCATAGAGAACAAGAAATAATGATACCTTATAACACATTTTGGTAGGGGTGGAGCCACATACCTAAGCAGATGCCTAAAGCTAAGTACATGAGTTTCTGTCTTCACCTTGCACCCTCTGCCTCCTCTTTGCTGGCTCGGGGAGAACAAACGAGGCAGATGGGCCTTTCTCTGTTTGTTGCCCATTCTCCTCTTTTTTAAAACTCAGCCCAGGTATCTCAAAAAACTTTTTGACTCCAGGGGTTTCCACCCTTTTAGATATGACCAACTGAGTCTTCTGAGATCAAAAGAGGCCATAGGGGTTGAACCGGCAAGGGGCTGGCAGGGCTGCCCCTCCCCAGAAGTTGCAGAGGCTCCACAGGGTGAAGCAGACAAGACTCAAACCTTGTGCCCAGTGCAGGAAGGCATTTAAGCGGCCCCTTCCCAAGGCAGAAACAAGACTAAGGATTTCGGAAGGGGATCTTGTACAAGAGGACCGGCAGCAAGACTGTATGAGAAGATGTTAGGGAGGCTGCAGGGAGAAGCTTCCAGACGCTCATCCACAAGCCTTTCCCTGCCATGTACCCAGCAGAATTCCTGGCATATGGACACGGGAACAGAGTGGCTCTTTCTGCCATCAACACAGTAAACCTCTGAAAGGTCATTTAAATCTACCCCATGCCTACTGTCCAGTCGCTTATGCCCACATTTAACAGAGACCAGTAGGAAGTCAAGCACAGGTTCTCGCATCAGTCCCTGAACCCAACAACCTGCCGCGCAGAGCAACCTCGGCCCCCTTCTGCCCCCTAACAGCCTCCCCTTCAGAAAAACAGAGTTTACCCCCCTACCTTATCACACACTAGAACTAGACCAAAACAAAGGAATATCTCCCTCCTGTGAAATGCAACAGGACTGAATTTTCTTTCTTTCTTTTTTTTTTTTAAATCAATCAGAGCTTCCCATACCCAGCTGATAATAATTTATCTGGTTGTACCCAATAATCTAAAATAGGTTTCTTTACTCACAACAATGCCTGGGTAGTAGCCTCCCACAGTAACATTTTCTGTTCTTGTGGTAGCTGCCAGACCTATGGTCAGTATGAGAAGAGACACTACCAGCAGAGAGACTGTGAACCAAAGCGAAGTCTTCTTCCTTTTTGCAAATTGTCCTGTAGGAAGTAGGGAGGGGCGGGAAAAAAAAGAAAAAAAAAAAAGTGAGCTTTTCATTGCAATCATGGCAGAACAAATACAAAGTAATGGAATATTTTCTTTTGTTAATCTTGTCTGTCGTTAACTCACTGTTGTTCTCCCATTAAGGAAAAAAGCTGGCAGACAACAGAGGGGATTAAAAACCACAGAGTTAGCTAGAGCTCAGCACAGCTTAATGCACACACACTGGGCGCATGCATGAGATGAGTTTTTATTAAGCTGAACTGAAAGTCAGTGACAACGATAACTATGCCTTGTCTTCAGTAACATTTATAATTAAGTGTTACTCACATCCCTAAGTCAGATCCTGCAGGCCTTAAACACTTACCTACATGAAGTGCCAATTCGACTCTACCTGGACAGAACATAAAAATTTGTATTTTAAACAAGATTAGCAGAAGCTCTGCATGCACGCTATCGTGAAAACGAATGTGCTCTTCATATTTACTAAGGTAAGCAAACCAATCTGCGTCTCTGAAGCAAAGCTGTAATATAGTTGATCGGGTAATGATACATGGGACTACCTGTTTAAGGAGTAGCTGCTCCGTGACATACATTCAGTCTCACCGGGATTTGGATTCAGATACCCAAAAGTGAAAAACAGCAGGCTCATCTACTGCCTTCGGCCTGCTTCATAGAATCATAGAATTGTTTAGGTTGGAAAAGACCTTTAAGATCATCAAATCCAACCGTTAACCTAACCCTGCCATCCCACCACTAAACCATGGCCCTAAGCACCTCGTCTGCCTGTCTTTTAAATACCTCCAGGGATGGAGACTTGACCACTTCCCTGGGCAGCCCGTTCCAATGCTTGACAACCCTTTTGGTGATGAAATTTTTCCTAATGTCCAATCTAAACCTGCCCTGGCGCAGCTTGAGGCCATTTCCCCTCGTCCTATCACCCATTACCTGGAAGAAGAGTAGCTTCAAGCCACTTAACCTTGTTATTGTGGTGGCACATCTGAGCTGCAACCACAGGCTACTAACATCAGAGCCCCAGCCCATAGCACAGACATATCCAAGGCTTATTTAAAAACAGCAATCGATACGTGACCCCAACGAACAAAAGGCACCCAAATGAATCAATCTGTGGTCCCCCTTTCCAGCCCTTTTTGCTTTGATAGGCAAGGCAGGACCATGCAGGACCACGCCTGGAGCACTGGCCCATGCGATGCCGTGCTACCCAAGGCTGCAACGGAGCAGCACGGAGCTCCAGCAAGAGCACAACCTGCTCGCGGCGCAGGGCCAGCATCTCTCCCCTCTGCAGCCTCACGAAGCCGCCTGCACACCCAGCCACGGGACGAGACAGAGGCTGTGGTCTTGCACTGAATTCTGGAGGAAACAGCCCTTGCTGGGTTGGGTAGGAGAGAGGGGAAGGCAGTCCTGTGTGGGTCAGGCGCAGAGGGTGAGGCATGATGGTGCTGCTGGAAGCAAAAGCAGGGGAAATGCAGGAAAGTCAAAAAGCAAGTAGGAGCCCCTCGCGACGAGTCATTTGAGTTAGGCGGCCAATTTAAAGTCAGGTAACTCAGTTAAATGTTTACAGTTCAAAAACCAGGCTAGATTAGTGATGTTTGCAAACCAAGTCTAATAATTTCAATGAATAAATAAATGCATTTATAATAAAAATCTGTGTTTGCTGACATTTCTCCGGTAGAACAACCAGCCAAAATGAGTCCAGTCTTTCAGTATGAAATGCAAGCAACTTTACTGAAGACAAATATCATCGATTGAGCTTACGGAAGTGTCTTTCACCTTTATGTACAGAGCCTTCCTGCTAAGATTCAAGAAATAATTCGTAAGACTTTCCAGACATCTCCCCTCCAGCCTGTGCCCCAGCTGTCTGCCTCTGGCAATTCCCTGTTAATCCATGCATGGTCACTGGGGACATGGAAACAGAGAGGTTCTTCATTATCCATCAGGTCTTCACCAAGTGTATGGGGCTAAAGGCAGTACTTTCAATGAAACCAGTTCACACGGCCACGAGGGAAAAGCAGACTTCAGACTCGTAACTCCACAAATCAGTTTCCCCTCCCATAAACTAAAATGATTCCTTCAATAGATTTACCAGATTTTAAAAAATATCTGATGTCCTTGCTGCACTCTGACATCTTTGAAAAGTCATGGAGATCGACCCAATAACTGAAGACAGACAAATGCACCGTCATATTTAAAAAAGGCCAAAATTATGATTTGGGGAATTGCAAGCCAACCAACCACACTTTGGTTCCTGGGAGGCTGAGACCAAAAATATGGAGCAAACCCTCTTGTAAGACATTTCTAGGCACATAAGGAAAAGGCAATTGGCAGCAGTCTGCATGGATCTACCAGAGGCAAATCATACCTGACCAGGCCAACTGCTTGCTATGACAAAATGACTGGAACTTATGGAGCAGCGGATGTCTTCTACTTCAAATCTAGCAAGGTTTTTAACACGGTATCCCACAACATTCTCATAACCCAGTTGGGATATTATGGCCTAGATGGGTAGACAAGGAGATGGTTAAAAAATTGGCTGGATTGTTGGGTTCAGAGGTAGCGATTAATGGATTGTACTCTACCTGGAGGCCAGTAGCAAGTGGAGTACTATGGGGGTCTGTCTTGGGAGCTGTGCCATTTAATGACCTAGAGAAACTGGTAGTGTGCCTGCTCATCAAGCTGGCAGATGACATAAAACTGGGGGGCCAGTTGGTACCCTGACGGGCAGGGCTGCCATTCAAAGGGGTCTAAGCAGGCGGGAAAAATGGGCCAGCAGAAACCTTACAGAATCCAACAGACAGACGCAAAGTCCTGAGCAAAGGAAGGAGTAATGCCTTGCAATGGTACAAGCTGAGGACTGCCAGGCTGGGGAGCAGCTCTGCTGAAAAGGACCTGGGGCTGTTGGTAGGCGATGAGCTGAACATGAACCAGCAGTGTGCCCTGGCAGCAAAGGCAGCCAACAGCATCCTGGGCTGTATTAACAGGAGCATCATTGGTAGATCATAGGAGTTACTATGCCCCTCTCTTCAGCACTTTTTAGACCACGGATAATATTACACCCAGTTTTGGGCCCCCAGTACAGGAAATACATCAATTAATAGCCAAGGACCCCAAAGAAGGTCAGGGGGCTGGTGCACTCAATGTATGAGAAGAGGCTGAGGGAACGGGGCTTGCTCAGCCTAGAGATGAGATGGCTTTTAGCAGGGCTAGTAGCAGTCTTCTAGTGCCTACGAAGTGGTTGTCAAGAGGACAGACTCAGGCTTTTTACAGCAGTGCACAGCAGGAGAACAAAGGACAGTGGACATAAGCCGAAACACTTGAAGTGTTTCAGATTGGGTATAAGGAGACAAAATGTCAACATTAGGACAGTTAAGCGTTGGAATGGGTTGCCCAAAGAGGTTGTGCTGTCTCCGTCCTTGGAGGTTTTGAAGATTCAACCAGAAAAAGCCCTGAGCAACCTGGTCTGACCTCATAGTTGGCCCTGTTTTGAGCAGGAGGTTGGACTAGCAATTTCCTGAGGTACCTTCCCACCTGAATTATTCTATGATTTTATGATAGTCAAGACAGCTAGGCTAAAGATGGCTTGGGTATGTGTGCTCATATCCACTGTAATGAAACTGATGTAATGTATGTAATGAAAATGTAAGCTGCAGCATAGATGTACTCTAAAGGGACACAGGAAGACAAACCTTCTGAAAGTCAGTGGGACAGATGCTCCTCAGCCAAAGTGCTTCTGAAACCACTGAATGTCTGCTTTTATGAAAAGTGCCTGAGGAGACAAGCCTCCATGTTTTTCTCAAAGTAACACTCCACTGGCAAAGGTTAATCAGATTGCATGGAGATAAACTAAGGGTCCAACCTGCCCTCCAGAATTTTGGTTATCAATAATGATGTGCAAAAAAGAAAGACACGAGTTTGATTGCCCAGACTGAATCTGCTGGAAAATGTCTTAGGAAAAGCATGCTCTTATCTGTAATTGGCGTAAATCAGATGTGGATTTAGTGAGATAAAACAGAAAATGATGTCATTATTTGTAGGGTCATTTTTCAGACTGAACTACATTTTAACTTCAAAATGTGTATGTGACAGAAAGTATAATCAATTTATGTATGTGACATCCTTCAATCCTCACATTTGTTGATCTCTTACCAGCTGCATCTCAAATCAGATACAAATATCCAATCATATCTCTTCTTTTGCACGTTCCAGTTTGGAAACTCTCATGACTACATGTAGTTAGCTATAAACGTCACTCTTAGTGGAGATCATAGAATCACAGAATCATTTAGGTTGGAAAAGACCTTTAAGATCATCGTGTCCAACGATTAACCTAGCACTGCCATCCCACCACTAAACCATGTCCCTAAGCACCTCGTCTGCCCGGCTTTTAAATACCTCCAGGGATGGGGACTCGACCACTTCCCTGGGCAGCCCATTCCAGAGCCTGACAACCCTTTCAGTGAAGAAATTTTTCCTAATGTCTAGCCTAAACCTCCCCCGGCGCAACTTGAGGCCATTTCCCCTCGTCCTATCGCCTGTTACCAGGGAGAAGAGGCCGACCCCCACCTCATTACACCCTCCTGTCAGGCAGTTGTAGAGGTCTCCCCTCAGCCTCCTCTTCTCCAGGCTGAACAACCCCAGTTCCCTCAGCCACTCCTCATCAGACTTGTGCTCCAGACCCCTCACCAGCTTGGTTGCTCTCCTCTGGACATGTTCCAGCAAGGCAACATCTTTCTTGTAGCGAGGGGCCCAAAACTGAACCCAGCATTCGAGGTGCGGCCTCACCAGCACCAAGTACAGGGATGAGTCAGGGATGACTTACAGGCAGGAGCACAGAGAGGCCCCTTCTGGAGCAGAGACGGATGCAAGCCCTCGTGCCCAAAGACCGCCACATGCTCAGAGAAGATGGTTAGAAATCAGGTCTAAATTGGTTTCTGCTCTGTCTGTCTGGGTTTCCTTAGTGTATAATTACATTTATGTAAGTCACCAGCATACTGTGAGGCCTAAGTAATATTTGTAAAGCAGCATAACATCTTCAGACGAAAAAGGCTACAGCTGCAAAGGGTTCCTAGTATTTAGCTGCCTTCTGCTATTTCGGTCACGTCAGCTCCCAAGATTTTTCAAGTCTTTGTTTACTTGTGTTTGTAGCAGTTGCCATACAGTTTTTTTTTGATCTGTTTTTAACATACCTACCAGCCAAAACCCCATGCCAGACTGTTCCCTCCGGAGCCCTGTCCACGGCACAGAGGGGCTGGGCCCAGCCTTCTTCCCTGACACTCTCTGTGGCAAAGCTTGGACCAAAGGTCGACCATATACAAAAATAGCAGTTAAATTAAGAACAGAGCAAATAATGCGATCGGTATTTCTAGGCTGAATTTTCTTCCAACACCGATGTTCCTGTAGTGCAGGGAACAGTTAATGTAGGCTATTGACTTTCCAATTTTTTTAATACCGAAGTGATTCTCAGAATAATTTTGACATTTATCCCCTTCAACTTCTTTAACAATGATTCAGTATGAACATATAAACTCTTAGTCTGGACCTTATTCCTATTCAGGTATAGCTTCAAATTCCTATCTCTAGCACATCAAAAAAATCAGGCGTGTAGAAAGAAATCTTCTCGTCATATCTTTATTTGAATTAGCTTGAGGCAAATAGAAGGTAAGAACATGTTATTACCTTCTACTGACAGTATTCTTCAGCAGCTTTGGCCAGCGGAGTATTAAGTGAGTTTTGATACTGCAGCAATGGGCACTATAATAAAAGTTGGGAGATAAATTAGAGAGGTAATGCTGCTTCCACATCATGGCTTGTGCTCTGCCTGGCATAGACTTAAATGGCGCATGAAAAGCAACAGTCCCAGAAACAGTCCCTGCTTTGCTTGCTAAACTTGTGTCAGGCAAAGTACCTGCTTGAGCCACTCAGCCCTGCCACCCCAATGGAAGGAAGGAAACATCAGGACAAGGAGGCGAGACACTAGACTGC